TACAGAACGACCTCCTGGTTCTACTTTGACTTACATTGCTTGCCGTAGTTTTACGGTTATGTTCTGCAGTTTTCCTTTACAAGAAGGGATTATTACTGACATTTTGTTTAATGTTGGTTTTACCTCCAAAACTGCTCGTCCCTTATTTGTATGATCTTGTATTTTTTGCCCCATCTTGGGTTGTAGTCAGAGGTGTATACGTACAATACACAACCGCACACACGCCAGACACAGCTTTTCAGCGCCGTAGCCATCACACGCTGCTCAGGTCTTCCCAGATCCCAGCAATTACTTTAATAGATGCAGTTATCATATCATAACTGATAGAAGCCTCATTTCTCTGCCACGGAAAAAAGATTGGAAGTAATGCTCTGTTCAAGCTCGTTGAATCCTGTATTTCTGTGATTGTCTTTGCTATAAAAGTAGAGATCACACGAGCCTCGCTGTCCACACAGAATCAAAGTGAAGCATCATCCTCTGCTGTCATATCCATCCTGTTGAGATTATGCAAACAACGTTTAGCGGGCTAACCATGGGTGTATCCAGGGGAATTAGTTTAGTTCAACAGGATCAGCGCCTAACAGCTCTTCTCCAACAAATTGAATCTGAGACAAATCATTGCTTTTAATTAGAATAAAAGCCTTCGAGGAGGGCAGCCTTAGCCAAGACAAGTCCGAGTAGCTGGTGGTTTTTATGAGGGAGAGGGGGGGATGTTGTTGAGCTGGTGTCTTCACTTTTTAACAGACATTGATTCAGTTTTGAATGAGCGCATTGTCAAGATGAAGTTACTGCTTACTGTACTGGCCAACATTTTATGATGTAAGACGGCATACGGGAACTGTCAGTAATTAACAAAACACCACCTGAGCTGAATGCTAAACCTGTATGGCCTCGTTAAAGTGGCTGAAGCAAAATAAAATAATTATAGTCAGCTACAAACTCTAGCCTCACAGTGGTCTACTGGAAAATCAAGACATTTTGGAAAACAACTCGGATAATGCATAATTCTCGTTCGTGCTACAGTTATAAATACAACTTTACTAATGCCTTAGAAAGAGACTGTTCTGACTGGAAAACATTGGTTGTTGGTTCAGATGCTGAAAAGGACGTCTTGTATCCATGTGAATTATGACTGTTCCCTCTCAGAAGCAACATTTTGGGGAAAGTCTCCACGGCTAATTTTCTTTCTTGCCAAGAGTTGGATGAGAAAATTGATACCACAATCATGTCTGTCCGTTGAATGTGAAGCTGTTGCCAGCAGTCAGTCAGTTAGCGTAGCACGAAGAGGGGAAATGGCTCACCTGGCAGACACTGTATGGATTTATAATCTCAAATTGGTCAAACATTGGACATCTCGCCACAGAACAGTTACCAAATAGATAGCTGTACTGGAGCTTTTAGGCACTTTGCGCAGCCTTTATCAGCGGATGGAATTTGCCCAGTTGACATACTGGTCAAGAATGAACTTTTCAATCTTAGCTTTTAGGCCAACATTGATGAGTCCTTCATTTTTATGACAAATGGGCAAATTTATTGTGCTGATTTATCTGCTGTTCAAGAAAGAACTTTGAATCTCAACGTAACAAGCCATCTTTTTTTTTAATCCAAACCACGACCTTGATTTCAACTGCCTCGATCTATCCAAACCATAATGATGGTATATCAGAAGAATGCTGAAAGCCTCTGACACTGTCACTCACAGTCACATCTGAAAATGTCCATGTCCATTTTTAAAGGCAATCATAAACGACCATTTTTGTCTCTTTGTCTTTTGTCTCTCGTGTCCCGTAGCTGGCCCCGAGAGAGAGGGAGTCCAGAAACTACAATCAGAAGCTGAAAGAGAAGTTCCAGCACCACCCGCAGATCAGACGCATCACTCATCACCGACATCTACCCAAGAACGTCTACCACCAGAGCAAGGAGCTGAGGATTATGAAAGAGGCGCGCCGTAGGAAGTATGTGTTCTTCTTATTATTTTACCTTTCCTTTTTTTGGAATATGAACAGAGCTCACTAATTTATGTATAGGAATGGCATGACGTCCCCTCTGTGACCACGTAGAGGTGATGGTGGCTTGGGCTGCTGCCAGGGCAGGTCCGACCTATGCAGTCACACCAGCCTAATGGAAAATCTCACAGATGGGACTGCCCCCTATGACATGGTCTCAATAGGCCTTACATACTCATTTACAGCTTGTATGGTGGATTGATTGTCCCAGTTTGCCCTGCCGTCCAGTGATTCATAGCTCAGTCTGCGTTTATTTTTCTAATTACCGGCAGTATTGAGACACGTCAGACGTGCGTTTGGACTGTGAATGATTTACTATCCATGCTTTATGCATTATTTTCAGGGTACATTAAGTGTAGTCGGTGACGTAGGTGTTAGGTCAACAATCTCATGTTCAGTCTCTTCCTCCTTTCTGTTTGCTGATCCCCCCCCCCTCTTCTCTCTACTTCCTGAATATTCTCAGCAGCAGATTGTTTCATTCATGGCTCTTCTTCTCTTTTTTTTTTTTTTCCCAGGGAGAGGAATGTCCGCAAGCACAGCAAACCAGGAACTGTTCCTGTGGTGTCTGAGAAGGCGAAGCATGTTGTGACTGTGGTCAAATAGACAGAGCTGGAGAAGAAAAGACAGAGGCCATCAAGAGATGAAGTGGAGCCCAAGATCACACCCACATGGGACATTTAAATGGGACATTTTAAAGAAAAAGTTTGAATTTGTCAGTTGCGGGAAGGACAAGTGGCAAATTCTGCATCATTGTAAATGCTCGGACACAGACTGTAAATGCATACAAACAACAAATCTCATAAAGCATTCTTTCTTTGCCACAAATGTGGGTCCTGTATTTGAGTGATAAATCCCACATTTTACTTTTGAGCATTTTTCATTTCAGGATTTAATCGAACAGATTAAATTGATCCAAATATTTAAAGGGACCTACTGGAAATGAACAATGTTCCTTGTGGTTTAATTACACAGTTTTTTTGTTTTTTTTATGAATGAAGTTCCAGAAATGTGCTATAGTTGTTAAAACTACCAGAGATGGTGTAAAGGTTTCATTACGCTTCAAATGACCTGCCGTTCGACAACATCGAAAGGATAGTTCTGTTACCAGTTGCCACGGTCAAAGGCTTGTCTAAAAGCTATTTAGCTATATAATGTTGCACATATGGGACAGTGTCCCTCATGGTGCTGCACTCAGTGGTACACAGGAAAATTGGTGGCTATGACAAGAGTTTTAGAGTGAAGTTCAAACCCTTTCTTGCTCCATAAAGTGGACGCCATTTCCCAGCGTTTCACTAAGTCAACAAAGGTGTCAGTGATATCTGCAGGTGTTGTTTTCTGCTTTTTTTTTCTTAATACAGGATTTTAGTTTGTAAAATAACCATTCTTAAAAAGAGTGAGAGGTTTTGTCTTATTAACTTCCTTCAGTCGATCCATGTCTCCCCTCAGTTTTGGAATATCACATTACCTATGAGCTAGGTAACATGTTACAGAGCATACTACACTCAAAATCTATATGTACATGGGACCTACACTGTTTGCTGATGTGTATTTATAATAAACTTCATTTTTTTCTGTGAAAACTCTACCAAGTTCCTTCTTGTTGTTTGACATGGGTCACTACAAAGGTGCTAATTTACTTACAGCCCTAATGAGTTAGAGGCTCTATCCTCTTAATGTTGTCCTTTAAATCCTATCAGCACTTAAGCCTGAGAGAGAGAAAAAGAGAGAGCGCTGTCTTTGGGAAAGGGTCGGCAAGACGAGGAAGGACTTCAGGGTTGAGAGCTGGGAAAATCACCTCTTGGAGTGTGGCAGTGGAAAGGGTTTGCAGGAGGGTGTCTAGGGCAGCTGTTCATTTTGCTTTTGCAAACAATAGTTCAATACAGTGTAATGTGATACCTGGAGGCGTCAGTTTTGGAGGCATTTCTGGCTTTTTCTGTGACGCAACCACAGTTGTTTTGTGCAACTAACATTTTTTTAATGACTGATTAATCTACCTATCATTTGATCTGTAAAATGTGAAGAAATAAGGAAAACATACTGATCACAAGTTCCCAAAGCTCATGGTAATGTCTTATTTTGTTTAACTAAATGGTC